GGAAGTAGACTGCTCTACGTTCCTTAGGAAGAGTGGCTGGTGGGTTTGAACCGCCAGCCTTCTAATTAGCAGTCAAGGGCCTTAGGCACTACGCTTACTACCAGAGCTCCTCCCATAAAGAATACAGCCTAGAAAATCTTACGGAGTTCTACTCTAACAAACTTGGAGTCATCGTGAATTGGAACTGACTCTGAAAATGGATTTTGTTTTGGTCCATTTACAAGGCGTGGTCTATAAACTACTAGGTAAGAAGGTAAACTTGCTTAAAATTCTTATTCTAGCTTCTAAATTGGAACGTCCCTCTGCTAACACAAGGATTTAGAATGGATTAACATTTGCATAAGAATTTAAATACCTACCATGCATGCAGTTTTTAAACACCAACTTAAAAAAAAATACCTAGGATAGAAATAATGGTGGCACAACAGGAAAATTGTCATCAATGGCCCTGAGTTGTAAATATGTAAGTTGCTATGCTGATGAATGTCTTGGTATGTATGTTTGCACAATTAAAAAAATGGCTTCACCAACATAAAAAAACTTCCTTCTCAACAGGCCTCAAGGTTTGTAGTACTAGTTATATATGAAACATGTTCCAATGTTTTGAAGACAGAGAGTTTTAAGTTACCAATGTCCTGCCAACTCCAAAGGCACCAAAACGGTGGGCAAAACACAAAGGACTATTTAAGCTTTTTGGTGTCAAAAGGTCTTACTTTTGGAGCAAATAGAAATACTGCTTCTATTTGTAACAAAAATATAGCTTATTTTGTAGAAATACAAGTATTACCAGTAAAGTCACCAATGTTCTGTGATAGTGTGATGGCAAAGCACTTTTCTCTGAAGTCTCACCTGGAAGACTGTACAAGGCTCAAATATAAATGGGCAGCAATAAAGTTCATTTATAACCTAGCCCTGCTCTGAAGCAGCTAAATGGTTTCCCTGTAGACATTCACTTGGGTTCAGTAAATTAAGAGTAAAGGTGGGGTTTTAACAAGACCAGTGCATTGGTTGAGATAGTTAAGTTACATGCTTGCCTAGAACAACACTGAAGTTTTCCAAAACCCAATAGTTCTAGGTCTATATGTAACATATAAGGCTCAGCAGGACTGCCTACTTTCTGTCAAGTCTGGTGAACAACTAGTTTTATGAATTCTAATTATTTTTTTTGGAGAGTCAACTTATGAATATGCCATATATGTCTTAAGTATTGCACAATTTAAAAATTAACGAGAACAGGACTTCCTATGAATAAATACCACAAATAAAACTGAAAGGCAAATTAAAAACTGGGAAAGTATATTAATTAAAATGACAAAAATCATCATAAAAGAATGCCAAAAGAAAACTGATAAATTTAAAATACACATGACCAATAAGACCCATGAAATACACACCTACTAGGATGGCTATTATATATATATATATAAAAACAAAACAGAAAATAACAAGTGTTGGTTAGGATGTGGAAAAATTGGAACCCTCAGACATTGCTAGTAGGACTGTAAAATGATGCAGCTGCTGTGGAAAGACTGGCTGTTCCTCACATGTTAAACACAGAATGACCACATGATCCAGTAATTCCACCAAGTATACACCCAAAAGAACTGAAAGCAGAGATTCAACATACATGTACATCAATGTTCACTGAAGCATTATTCACAATAGCTATAAAACGTGGGCAACCCAAGTGTCCAACACGTGCCTTTGGTACTATACACCAGAGCTCCCAGATGAAACAAAGTATAGCACATATACACAAAGAATTATTCACCCACAAAGAAATTTTGATACATGAATGAACCTTGAAAACATAATGCTAAGTCAGATACAAAAGGGCAAATATTGTATGACTCCATTTTTATGAAGTATCTACAACAGGCAAATGCAGAGACAAAAGTTACACGTTACTAGGACTAGGGGAAGGAGGAATGATTAGCTATTGCTTAAGGGGTATTTTTTGTTTAGCGTTGATGTAAATGTAATTAATGTTATTTAGTTGTATACTTAAAAATGGTTAAAATGGCAATTTTTTATATATTTTACTTTTACCACAATAATACTTAAAAATGGTTAAAATGGCAATTTTTTATATATTTTACTTTTACCACAATAAAAAGTTTTTAAAATCTGTAAAACAAATTTTTGACCTTGTAAGTAATCTTATATGCAAATGTAAACAAGCTATCCCTTCCTTTTTTTTCCAATCAAAACTTGCTATTAAGAGTGAGATTACAAAGATCCATTCAAACACTGTTGATACACAGTAAAATACTCCGTTTTCTAGATAAGCAGTATTTACTAAAAGCCTTAAAAATGTGCTTACTCTTTGGTCGAGAAACTGAATTTCTAACAATTTACTATAAGGATTAAATCACACAAATGTATGAAAATCTATGTACAATAGTATTCATTGAGCCAGTGCCTTAGTAACAGTTTGTATTTCCAAGCCTTCTGCATTTTGCAATCTGAGAAAAACAAACAAAAAACCTCTAAAAATGTTAGGGGAAAAGGCTGTAGGGAAAAAAATATTTCCTCAGAATTTTCCAAAATGTACTGTTGCCCCCATTCCACCCCCAAATTAAAGCTAGAAGCAAAGCAATAAACACACAAAATAGAAAATGCTCAAGTTGTTTAGTTTCACTGCATATTGAAATTCAGTAAGTTTATTCAACCAATCCCTTCTTCCTACCCTGAGTCTTGGGTCAGATTAACCTGGGCAACAGATAAAGAGAAAGCCTCTGGAAACATGTAGGTTATTATATAATTTGTTTATTGTATTGCATTTACAAAGAAAACAGACAATGCACCCAGTAGAAAGAATAAAAATGTACTCAGATGTATTTTTAACAGCAAGTAGAAATCCTTTAGTGAGATCACAGCAATTTGACATTACGATGATTAAGCTCAATAAAGGTTGCAGGGAACTTGGAAGATGAAATTCTACAGCTGCCTCTTTCCACATCTTCTAAATTCATCTGGCTCCTTAAGTGATAGGGAATAAAGCACTTATGTGGAAGAGAAACTTTTCCAAAATGAAGTTATAGGTTTTCTCTCTCATTTAAGTTTCCTTTCTTGTCAGTTGTTTGTTAAAACAGTGCCTCTGTTTTTTTTTTTTTTCATCTTAATATTCATCACCTGAATTTCTATAATTCTTCAATTATTTTACAGTGCAGAATTCAGTTCTTGTCTGCTATTGCTTTAGATGTAGATACAGCTGAAAACCCAAGGTGGATTAGAATTGCTGAAAGATTTCCCTGCCGTTGTTTGATACAATCTATTTATTCTTGATAGGTGCACAGACAGCCTGATTTATAATCCTTTCTACAGGAACACGTCTGATGTCACGAGGACCCAATCAAGGATCCGATGAATGCCTGGCCATAGTTACTCAGGCTAATATGTTTATGAGTTAAATGGATTGCATAATTCCATCACTTTTTCATTTGCCATTGTTGCTGAGTAGATAAATGACAAACACTAGACTTCAATCTCCCATACAGAAAACTACCCAACAGTCTCACTGGGAGCTTTGCTAGTAGAGCCCCAAGTAGCACCTCCTTGGCTTTTTGTAATTTGTAGATCAGTCCTGCAGCCATTTCCAGAGATGCTGTAATCCCCAAGGCTCACCTGGTCCGTGCTGAACAAGTGGCTGTGACCCCAATCCTGCCCCATTTTTGCTTTTCAGTATGACCCAAGGAATAATATGTAATGCCTAGAGCAAGTCCAGGAGAGGACCATCCTAAAATAAAATTTACAAAGCTTTTTCTCACTTTAAGGGAAAAAAAAAAAAAAAAACAACCCTTCTACATTTCAATCTCCAAAATTGACTTTAAAAATTACGTTATACAAGGAAATAGCAGCAGAGAACGTCTAATCTTAAAAACCAATAACCTCTCCCTCTCACAAAAAAATTTCCCACCCCACCTCTCCACTTAGTTCTTTTATCCTGGGGTTCCAACTAAGACCCCAAACCTCTGAGAGAGAAAGGTAAAGAAAGCTACAGAAAGAAGCTACTTCAAGGCCAAAATCCTGGGCAAGGTAAAGAGAAAGCCATACATGAACTTGGGATGGTTTGGAAAATCATCAAGAGCTCTGCGACACTTCTTAGATGGGCAAGCTCTGAACCTCTGGTCTCTAGAGTTGTCCTGAATTCTTTAGTTAAGGGGCAATAAACTCAAGTGCAACGAGCAAAGTGCCAGCCAGGGATTAAGAAAGCAAAAAATGGGAAGCGAATAAAAATAACTGCTCTCAGGGCAAAAGACATCTAGAAAAGTACTACTTGCAGAACACCTGTGGTCTGAAGAAACTGCTACTCAATGTTTCCACTTTGCTTCCGTCATTATTCAGACTGAAGATTCAAGGATCTTAAAAGAGTTATTAAAGGATGAAAGGAACCCGACAGTGCTTTCAACAGTGATAAAATGGTACCCAAACTCAGTGTTTTTATAGCCCATTTAAGAAGACAGCTTGAAAGTCGCAAGAAAAAATGTGAACATAGAGAACAGAAACCATCCAGGAAGATGATGCAGCCTGGATACAGCAAGTTTAATATCTCTGCTGTACATAAAATTAACAAACCCCCCCTTCATCCTTATGCTGGCAATTGGGTATATACTAGAAAATTTGACTCTTAGAGTCAGTGAATAAAAGGATGGGCTCATATTTCTTCATAGCTCTTTTTAAAAAGAATGCTTATAATTTAAAGGCTGTCCTATTGGAAAGGCAAGGGTACAGGGCGAGAGGCTGTTTCACATTTCAGTTCATTAGTCTTTGGCAGAGCCCAACTAAGGCCAAATTCACCTAGGATGCCCAATGGCTGTGGGATCTCCACAGGGTCAAGTAAGCAACCCAAATGAGTATGTTGGATTTAAAACAAACAAACAAACAAAAATCTAGAAACCCTTGAAGAAGAGCTTCACCCTGAAAAGGGAAGAGGGAAATGCTTGGAGAGGAAAGGAGGAGGGTCAGCGTGTGATCTCTGCTGCAGTGCTGGCAGGGGCTTAGGAGTTGAGCCAGGGGTGCCGGAGACATTCGGCAGCGGTGGCTCTCTTCTCGGGGATCAGCTCCAACATGGGCAGTAAGAAATCTGTGAAGCCAGCTGCCTCTTCCTGAGACCACTCATACTTCTCTACTAGAACCTCAAAAAGGCCCCATGGTTTCAGCTTCGTGATGTGTTTCAGGTCACCTGCAGTGAAGACAGTACAAAAGCAACTGACCAACATTGACAAGTGACAAGATCCTCTTGTGCAAGTCCAGGAACTAATCCAGGCAGTCTATAAAGAATCAAATTTTGCAATCAGAATCTAAACCTCCTCATTCACAAAGCACCTCTTCTCTAAAGTATTCCTTGCAAAAAAGCATTTTTTTTTCCCTCCCATGAGGGCCTAAAAACTTAAGATCATCTGTTTTCTCCCCCAGTCTAAGATTTTTTTCTCCAGTCAAATTGAGCAGGACTATCAGGAACTAAGGAGCTCTGGTGGCATAGTGCCTAAGGCATTTGACTGCTAACTAGAAGGCTGGTGGTTCAAACCCACCAGCCACTCCTCGGAAGGAAGACTGGGCAATCTACTTCCGTAGTGATACCGCCTCAGAAACCCAAGAACAGGTCGCTACAAGTTGGATCCGACTTGACAGCAGTGAGTTTGGTTTGGTTTGGATCAGGAACTAGGTATTCTTTACAATGAATACAAAATGCCTATTAGTCAACATGGTCTTCTATCGTGTTTAGAGGCACTCTATGACCATATACCAAGAATAATTTACTTGTATTCTTTTTTTTTTGACTTGATAGTCTAGTAAATATTGCTTCGAAATGAAGCACTTATAGCTAACACTACGTCAAACATATCAAAAGCAATAAAATAAAACAAACAACAAAAGAAAACCACTATGCAGCTTTTAGATACAGCAGAATCATACTTTGGCTTATTAAGGCAAATGCTGCCTTCTAGTTTTTTCATATAGGACACTTATTTGAAGTTCCCTCTGTGGGTAGTTTTTCACATTTCAGCTCCTAAGTTTTTTTTTAAACACGTTAAGAAATGTATTATTTAGATGTATCAACATATATTATCAACTAAACAATGTGAGATTAGAGTTTTATCTTTATGTTTCCTTCACTAATAAGAGATAACATGAACTTAACGAGCTGAAAGCAGCACAGTTCATTTGTATGACTAATGTGTTTATGTGACACTATTAGGTATCAGCTGGAATACAAAGATGAGTGAGATAGTCCCTTTCCTTTAAGAAGCTTAAACTCATTTGACTTTTGGTAGAAGCAGTTCTTAAACTAGATACTAGCAAAACTTTGCCTATCACCAAAAGTGCTGTAGTAGGTATAATCATCAACTAACTGTGCCAGGCACTATATATGTATTAACTAATTTAATAGGAGGTACACACTATTTCTATCCCCATTCAGAGACAAGCAAACTGAGACACATAGAGATGATATTGAAGGTTACACAGTTAGTGAAGCAGCTGGGATCTGATCCCAGGCAGTTTGGCTCCAGTTTGCTACTGATCACACTATTCTACCTGTCTGGTAAGTTAGCATCCATGGTAAGACTGGCTTTCTCTAGGTGATGGAAACATGTACCCAACCACACTTACCTCTTCGTTTTAAAACACTTTTGTCCCCTCAAAGTCAGGGAACAAGCACATTTATTTTACCTTTTTTGGTGAAAAATTCCTTGGAATATTTTCCTGCCACAATGAGCTTGCGAGGTACCTTCCCCAGAAGTTCTATGATCAATGCAATGTGATCTGTATGTTTCAAACATTTCAAGAGGGAAAAAAAGAAAAAGACATACATAACAGGAGTAACAACTGCAGCTCTAGACAGTGGCAGAATGTGTAGCATGCACACCTCTTTGTGAAGCGTCTCAGGCTAACTTTCTGTCTGAAATGGGAAAGGGATTCTATCCATCTAATGGAGAATCTAGAAAATCATAAAAATCAGGTACCCACTTGAGTGGGATTTGAGTGGTAACTAAATATAATCTTGGTGTGAATGCTCTGCTCCTTGAAGTTGTATACTGGGGCCTAGATGAAAACTAATGTTAGTAATACTACCTCTTTGACTGAAAAAGTCCCGTGAGTATTTCCCACTAAGGGCAAAGCATCTTGGAATTCTGCCTATCAGCTCTATAATGCATGCAATGTGGTCTAAAATAGAAGGGTAAGAAGAACAGGATCAAGGACAAGCTATAAAAGAAGGTTTTTCTATGACCAGCTCTTTCAAGGACTAGATGTTTGAAAGTATCTACAAATAAAACCAAGGATACTTGAGGAAGAGACTGGGAAGGCCAAGAGTTAGTTTAGGTGGCTAGTCACCTGATAAGAACTTTGATAGCGTAGTGCCTAAGGCATTTGACTGCACACCAGAAGGCTGGCAATTCAAACCCAGCACCTATTCCTCCGAAGGAAGACTGGGCAATCTACTTCTGCAGAGATACCACCTCGGAAACCCAAGCAGCAGTCACTATGAGTCTAATCGACTCAACAGCAGTGAGTTTAATCATCTGATGGTAGCTGGAAAATCCCAGTCTGGATATCCAGGTTCAGATAGGTGAAGTACAAAATGTGCCAAAATGCTTCAGGCATTCTAGAACGGTTATTTAAAATACTGTTCTGGGCTTTAAGGAGCGTAAGAATTATGCTTTATTATGCTTATTACATAAGAATATTCAGGACAGTTAAAGCACTCACATACTATGGTTTGGGTTTTCACAATTATTCTCTTAAACAGGCCAAAAAGTAATGCCACATTTTTAAGATGAGAAAATGGAGCCTCAAAGAGAATAAGTGGCCTACTTGAAGCTGCAGGAGAAAGATGTGGCAGTCTGCTACCATAAATATTTACAGCTTTGGAAACCCTATAGGGGACCCCTATAGGGTTGCAACAAGTTGGAACTGACTCAATAGCAACTAGTTTTTTTGGTTTACTTTAAGTTACAGGGCTAGTAAGAGCTAGAACTCAAATGAAAACCTCATCTTACCATGTCTAGTTCAGAGCTTTTTTTAAAATCAGATTTTTAACAAAAACTGGTACAAACATCTTAAAGTATGGCTACTTGACTGTCAATCACTGAATGTTTAGGTCATGCAGTGAGTTGTAACTGTCACAGCATGAGTACGTACTGTGTGCACTGCCAGGGTGGCGTGCAGTTTTATTAGCCAGGAGGGGAGCCTGGGACCAGCCACCTCCCACACCTCCAGGCAGCCTTCCTGCCCTCTTCACACTGCAGGGGACAGAAACTAACAGTATAAAAAAGTTTCTAAAAGTGATGGCTCTCAGCTGGAAAAGAAATGACTTTAATCTCATAGTCATAGAATCACTAAGGGTCTAAAGGAGTCACTTAAAAAAAAAAACTTCCTATTTTGTCTTTCAGAGGAGTGACATGGTAGAGATATCCATCTACCTGGGGATTTGTAGAAGTCTCAGTGCTACACCACTTTAAAAGGGTTTTTCATTTATAAATTCAGTCTAGTCTTTGGGCAGCTTTGATGGAGTTACTGGTAATAAGCATCTGCTGCCAAGAAATCTCTGCCTATTTTAGGCAGGAACTTTAAATAAATGTCTTTGTATGAATCACCATTAACAACTAGTGAAGTGAGAATACCAACAAATAAGTGAAACCAAGGAGCTCTGGTGGTGCAGTGGTTAAAGTATTTGGCTGCTAACCCATAAGTCAGCAGTTCGAAACCACCAAACCACTCACTCCAAAGGAGAAAGGTGAAACAGTCTGCTTCCAAAAATATTTACAGCCTTAGAAACCTTCTGGGACACTTGTACTCTGTCCTATAGGGTTGCTATGAGTTGTAATCAACTCAATGGCAATGCGTTTGGTTTCTGTTTTCACAGTGTATTTTACTGCAACATTCCAAGTGAAGTACTGGTTCTTTTAATATTATTATTTTTAAAAACAGTTTTCCCTTTGAACTGTTATTTTATAATCAGTTCCAGCAACCTGTCTCTGGCTTATCAATTAATCATAGGATTGTACTTGATAGGCAAAATGATCAAGCTAATGAAGTATTATTCCAAGAGCACAGGCTGTGGGGAGTTACAACAGAAGCTACTTAGGCCCTAGTCCTATTGTGACTTGTTACAAACTTTTTATACTCTAGCCAGGGCATAAGGTTTGCTTTTTCCTGTTCTTACAGGATAAAATACAGTAGTACAGTATAGGGAGTTTGAGGTGTGATATAAACACTATTAGTTATGACTGGTACTGGAGGAGATAAATTGGTATCTAAATATCTAGGGTAAATAATTCTCCCTTATCCCCTTATTTGAAGCATTTCATATACATTTCAATTTCCAGGCAGCATATAAGTCCCACCTAGTGTAATTCTAGCAGCTATATGTATTCAATACAATAGCCTAATATTTATAGGTGGTCTAGAAAAGAGAAAAAAATTCATCTCCTTCCCAAATACAGATACAGTTTTTCTCAAACTCTGTAATCCTATAAGGCACTCTGGTTAAAGTATTAGGCTGCTAATCAAAAAGGTCCCACTTCGTGGGAGAAAGATGAGGCCACCTGCTTCCATAAAAATCTACAGCCTTAGAAACTCTATGGATAGTTCTATGTTGCTTGATAGGATCACTATGAGTCAGAATTGACTAGATGGCAGTGGGTTTGTTTTTTGCTTTGATAATCCTACAGCCCCAAAGCATAACTTGGAAAAAGGGCAAATAGAGAATATGGAAATGTTTACATGGGTAGGAATTATAGTATCTTTTACAAGGGCTGGCACAGCATTTCCCAAACTGTATTTGTTAGGAGTGTTAGCAGGTGCTACTAACAGAGGCCTGTTAATATCCCAAGGAACCAGAGTTTGGGAAATAGAGAACATTCCTGGCTCCATAGAGCACAAAGTCTGATGTCCCAAAGAACTGAGGGAAGCACAGAAAGTAAAGAACATATCTGCCACTTTGGGAGGGTACATTGCTAATGGTCTCTCAAAATAATTCTCATTAATCCTACAAGCAAAATTTTAAAAAAGCTGCTACAACTGTATCGTGAAGAAGGAAAGACATTTCTTTAATAATTTTTTCATGCAAATAACTGACGCAATATCGTTTCCATAGCCTCTCAGATGGATCAAATGACAGCTTAGGCTTTCTCGTTGTCAATCACAAAATAGAAATCAACTGTATTTTGTTTAAAATGGAATTCTAAGTTTTGTATCACATAAAAAGAAAAACAACTATGACTTTAATTTTCAGAAACGGGAGAGAAGAATGTGAATGTTGTAGAACTTGTAAAGATAAATAGTATATGATCTCTGTATATTAAAATTATTGACTTCCAAATAAAGATAGAGACATAATTGAACAAAAAGTTGATGAACAGGGGAATTCAAGGTGGGAAAAGAATGAAATCACTAGCATTTACAGAAAGGAAGGTAACTAGATGTTGAAGAAGAAACTACCTGGCAAACAAAAGATTTAGTTTAACTGATTTTCACCTTTTGTCTAATCCTCTGATAGGGCTCTTTAACATCTCTTATGAAATATTTATCATTAACCTAACATCTAATATAAAATATCTTTTATACTTCTGTCTTTCCTGGGATTCATACGTACTTGGCATACTAAACAGACTAAAGCTGTTTAGTACTAACAAACAATGTCAGCCACATCTGGGAAGTCTAATTGCAACACATGGACATCCTCTTCTAGGGGACTCACCTTCATCTCGAGTGTACTCTTCTCCTGAATGAGGTTCAAACAAATAGTCACCTGTAGCCAGTTCAAAGGCCTAAGAAAAAGAAGAATAGCATATGAAAGCAGCAAAGAAAAGAAGGCTAGAAAGCTTATTGTTTTCTGATTCAATATCAAGTTAATTTTTTTCTTTGAAAAGTCTGCAAATGGTAATTTTTAAAAATATGTCTGAATTTATTCTAGAAGAGTTTTCTTTCCCACACCTATATCTTAGCAAAATGGAGAAATAGCAAACATGTAACATGTGCGTTATTCCAGACTTATTTCCTCCCCCTAAACAATTAGCAGTTAAGTCCTCTGATTTTCTCTTCTTAGGTCAGAGAGGGGCACATCTGGATATTAAAGTGATTCTATTTTACTAAATTATTCATGGAAGAATAGGCCTTGAATAATCACATACAATCAAGTTCTAATTCTGTGTGGCTAGAAATTAAAATTCTGTACCTAAAATTAAAACCTTCATGTATCTTTCTACCCAGAACTTTTTAGTGCTTTGCAAACAGTACATTCTTAACCCATGCTGTGGAAAGCACTCCCTCCCTGTCCCAGACAGAGAATTCCCATTTCCTAGCTCCGCAGAAAATGAGAAGACCTAAGTGCAGGTTACCAGGGGTGGGAGGGTAGGGTAGGGAATACCGTTAGACAGAGATAAGTTTTGATCTGGGTGAAGAGAAGGGCAATGTACCAAATGTGAGTGATCAATATAGTGGCATTGAGGAAGAGAAAGACATGGAGAGGTAGGTGGGAAGTACAGACAACAAAGATGAACCCTTTTCCACATATAGTACGGCGTTGTCAGTGAAGGCAAACAAGGGTAGATGGGTGGATAGATGGGTGGACACGCTGAGCTATTCGGTATGTCTATGAAGTGGGGTGTGTACCCAAGAACATGTATAGGGTTGGCAGACAATGGTCCTATAACTTTATGTGTATGATCTGAATTCTCAGGTATATAGTAGAGCTGACAAGGGGCAAGGTTGTAGTCACTGCTTGGTCACAGCCAGCTACCCAGAGGGACCGAGTAGTTGAACCTGTGGGCTCGGGACCATAGTCGCAGAGGACATCAAGCTCAATTGGCATAACATACTACACAAAACATTGTTCCACCTCCTACTGTGGCGAGTAGCGACTGAGATCTTAAAAGCTTGCAAGCTGCCATCTAGATGCAACGATGGGTCTCTCCTTGTCCAGAGCCAAGAAGAATGAAGAAAACCAAAAATTCATAGAAACAATTAGTCCTGGCGACTGGTATACCATTTGATCTGCAGCCTATACAACTATGAGACCAGAAGAACTAGATGGTGCCCAGCTACTACTGTCAACCACTTGGAAGAGGATCTATGTAGGACATCCTGGATAGACAGGGAGAACAATGTGGAACAAAACTCAAAATCATTTGGAAAAAGAAAGCGGGGGGACCAGGTTTGCTGGCCTGATAGAGCCTGGTGGAACCACTGAGACTATGGCCCCTAGCTACCCTTCAGGTCTGGAATTGAACACATGCCTGTGGCTTCCAGCCAAACAAAAGACAGGCATATGAGTTGAACATTTACCTGAGGTAGATACACTCCTTGGAGAGAACAAGCATGGGACAAAGAAGGGCTGTTTATGCACAGGAAGACAGTTCAGGGGCAGGATGCATGAAGGATGGACACAGGGAAGATATAATTATCAGGAGGAAGTGGGAGGGGAGCTGTTGCATTGTGGTAAATTGTGGTCAATGTCATGAGACAAAGTGTATGTGAACTGCTGTATGGAAAGTGTATTGGATTATGGCTTGGGTGATTGGTGGAGTCATTTTCAAAAACAAGAAAGAGGGGAAAGTATGCCTGGAAAGCATTCTATTTTGAAAATGTTACATGTGAGGTAGTTAGCAGATATCCAAATGGTACAAACAAAAGAAGAAACAAGGAGGTATTTCTACAGTATTTCTATAGTCTTACAGCGTCAGCTTTCATTCAATCCTTTACTTTCTTTGGTAACTGAAACATTTATAAAATAAGTATTCTGATGGATAGCTGTATGCACCAACATGTAGAAGCTATGTGTGACCAAAAATAGAGAGACTGCCCTAGGAATCTACAGCATCCTAGTTATTTCCAATCCCTTTCAATCGTGTACTATCCAGTGGGGTTACACTGGGGTTTCTACAGTCACCCAGCTATAACTCTAGCATTCTTGGGAGGCAAACATTTCCAAAACTCACTGTTGTCAATTCCATTCCAAGTCACAGTGACCCTAAAGGACAAAGTAAAACTGTCCCATTGAGTTTCTAAGGCTATTAATCTTTATAGAAGCAGACTGCCTCATCTTTCTCCCATGGAGCAGCTGGTGAGTTTGAACTGCTGACCTTTCAGTTAGCAGCCAAATATTTTAACCACTGTGCCATCAGGGCTCCAGGTATGTAATCTGCCCTCCTTAGCAAACATTTACTTCTCTCAATTCCTCTCTGGCTCTTTGCCTGTTCATAACATATGCAGCAAATGCCTAGGTCTCCTTTACCTTCACTGATAGCAATGTCTGGGAGTTCAGATATATCTGTACATACTAATTGTAGGAATCTAAAGACATGAATCTTGGCCATTTAATTATAGAAAACAATTGTGAAAAAGACAAGGTTATACTTTTTTGTGGTTGCCTTTCCTGTTCAACAAAAAGCTGTGGCCACAGTAACAAAACTGTGAACAAAAGCAATCCTACAAGCTTCATTGTAGGGGATAAGGAAATTGGACACAACAAAAAATATTATTCATTAAAACAGTATTCTGTTTTTATCACCAGTGGCTTACTGCTGTTAAATAAAGGTGACAAGTCTTTGTGGAATCCAAACAGCCATCCTACACAATGCCAGAAATTATGAACAGTGCAAACATTACTGTCCTTTCAGACACCTCAGATCTGATAGTTCTTTTCCATACCAGACTGGGGACTGATAATAGTGGATAAAGAAACTCTATGGATGAAAAGTTATACTGGTTTAGATTTTGATTTCAGATTTTGGACATTTTATCAGCTGTAAGCGTTCTGGACAAAGAAAACAGTGATGGATCATATTTCCCCAGGATCCATTCTCTTGCTAAAAATGCCCAAGAATTAAATTGTACTTTCTAGTTTTTTCCCTAAATACACTCTTGATTAGCCTTGGACCAGTGTTTGTAGTGGACAAGATAAGAATTTATCCGTATGTGTAGCTGCACTCAGATAGCCTCACACAAATAAATGCCAGTGTACAAATCCTGCTCCGAATTTCAGAGCAGAAGATAAAAGAGGACAGAAACAGGTCCCAGAAAGCCAATACTTCCCAGGAGGAAACTGTCACGAGATAAAGTATATGTGAACTGCTGTATGGGAAGTGAATTTGCTCTGTAAACTTTCACCCAAATCAATCACACACACACACACACACACACAGTGCCAAGCAATAACCAGATACTTAGCTATACATAACAGACATGATTCCTGCCTGCATGGAGCTTAAAATCTTCCAGAAGAGGAAAAAAGTAAGCAAACACACAATTCCAAATTATGATAAAATAAAAGATCTTAAAGAGTATAAGCCATTTCAGAAAACAATGTAGCATGTTCCAATGTTAGGCTATTTGTGGCAAATTATTTATTATCACATAACTGACTACTCAAGTAATGGCTTGCCAAGGACAAAGTAGAAATCTATCCCTGACTACACTTCACATCTTGTGAGTTGTAAAGATGCCTGAGGGACTGCTGAACTGTACAGAATGAAGCAGTTTCCAGGGATTTCCATGGTCCAAAAATAGATCAATGCTGAAAAGGCAAAAGTGCTCATAGTCCCCTAATCAAAACTAACAACATCTTAGAGCTTTTCAACTTTCTTCCCCAACAATCTATTTTAAGAAACACTTAGATCCTTCATCCAACAGAAACTTGGTAGGAACCAAATCAAACACAAAACGTTTATGACAGATGTTTAGAGTCAGTCCTCTCCAGACACTGGGTTTTTAGTGCCAATGGTAAGTCACCAAATTCCTTTTCTCCCTGTTAATTTGCTAGTCTACTGAAATTAGCAAACAGGGCAAAGTATGTAACTACCACCCAACAAGGGAAGGCCAAGGGCAAAACACATTACCATACATGCGGTGCTCCAAATGTCAGCAGGAGTATTATAGCCAGATCCTATCAGAACTTCCAAAGAGCGATATTGCCTTGTCTGAATATCTTCCGTGAAATGTTTATGCTGAGTAAACAGAGAAAATGGCATTTTAAAACTCATTTATTCTAAAATGTAACAAGTCACCAACTGCTTAATAATATTTCCTCCCAAAATCATAGTTTCCATTTAGCTAATCTTACTTACCATTTTGATGCAATCAGTTATGAACAGATCTTTGCATTACATAGTCTATTCCAAATTATTTTTGCAAATAGATGAGTCTAAATTTAATATAGATACACATATTTTTAAGAAATGGAAAATTATTTCCTCTAACAAAAATTAAGCTGCTTATTTGTCTAAAATTAATAAATTACATTTCAACAAATAATACCACCAATTTAGTTCAATTTAAACTTTTCCTTGCTATGTGTTCATTATGATGAAATAAAAGATACAGACTTCAAGTTATAAGAAACTTACAATCACCACTACCTATAAAGAATCCTTGATTTCATTCTCCCTTGTTCTCCTCCATGCCTTAAAAAAAAATAAGCCAAGCCTGAATGTAATCAAGTTCCTTGATCTTTATCAATATATAGGAACTCTTGGGGAAAAAGGCACTCTGGTAGTGCAGTGGTTAAGGCATTTGGCTCACAGTAGAAAGATGAGGCAGTCTATGTCCATAAAGATTTACAGCCTTAGAAACCCTACAGGGCATTTCTACTCTGTGCTATAGGGTTGCTGTAAGTCTGAATCCACTTGATGGCAGTGGGAGAGGGTTGGGGGAACAGAGAACATTAGGCATCTTGGAGATGCCATCAGAAAAACAATCAGAGTTTCCATAACACATTTTATGGGGGAATAAAAAGACAAAGGAGAAATGAAATCTCTATAGTAAACAATTTAATAGAGTATAATTTTGCATTCATGAATTTTATTGAATCTTGCTTCAAACAATCAAAAGAATATTTATGATATAGGTTTATGAGGAAATTGAGTATTTGATATTTAGTACTTTTGGTATCAGGTTTGATATTAGATATAAATTTGACATTAGAGTTTGATAAAAATAATCTTGACACCATTATGACACCTGAAAAACTTGACAGTTTCCTAATATTTGCTATTAAGGAACCATCAACTTTTTTGGGGTGTGGTAATGATGTCAAGGTTACTTTTAGAGAGCTACATTTATGGATGAAAATGTAAGATGCCTACGATATGCTTCAAAATAATCTGGGTGGGTGGCAGGGTGGAGATACAGATGAAACTAGATTGGAAATGAGTTGAAAATTGAGACTGAGTGACACTAGTATAATAGCATTAAAAAAGCCACTGCCATTGAGTCCATTTCAACTCACAGTGACCCTATGGGACAGAACAGATCTTCCCCATAGAGTTTCCAAGGTTGTAAATCTTTACGGAAGCAGATTGCCTCATCTTTCTCTCACTGAGTACCTGCTGGGCTTGAACTATTGACCTTTTTGTTACCAGTCAAATACTTTAACTGCTACACCAATGAGTCCCTTCATATAATAGCACGGGAGTTCATTATTCTGTTACTTCTTTTATGTAATATAAAATAAACTATTAATTTTAAAAGCTTAGAATGATTCATACACAGAAAAAAACATAAAATATTCAAGCATGTACAGAAAAAGTATGCTAAACTATTCTCTAATCTGGAGAAATTAAAAAGAAAAAAGGGCAAGATATTTGTGGACGGGGAAAATGAGGCGGCAGAACAAGCTTCCGAGACAGCACCAGTATGATCAAGTACTCCAGGAGAGGGAAAAATCACAAATAAAGGTACGAAAAAGTTTACTAAAGTAAGCCAAATTCTTTTAAGTTAAAGAGTTTCTGTTTCATTTGGCGGAAAATAGAGAACCACTGCATGTTACTATTAAGTAGGTAAGTGTGCTGTAAGGAGATTGACAGGACATCTGAGAACATTCTTCTAGTAATCTAGCTAGTGGCCAGAAAATAGGAGAGAAAGGTAAGACAACTAGAGAACCTGTACATGAGGTCTAACATTTACATAGCTAGATTACAGAAATAAAGGATATAGACCTAAGAGAAGAAAATTAAAAAGTCAAAAAAGAGTCAAAACCAAAGAATCAGAGTCTCAAAATTTAAAGTCCACACTGAGTTCCTAGTGTGATAAGATGACAACAGACCTAGTGAGGCACATTATCATGAAATGATAAATGCTGGGCATAATGATGATCCTACAGACTTCCAGAGGGGGTGAAAGGTTTCATACAAAGGATCAAGAATCAGAACAACATTGGTCTTTAGCAGCAACAAGACCAGAAACTAAAAGACAATGGAGCAATGACCTAAGCATCCTGAGGAAAAATGATTTCAATCTAGAATTTGACATGTAGCCAATGAGTGTGAAAGCAGAATAAAGATATTAACAGGTAGGTAAAGTCCCCCTGGGAGCTCTGGTAGCCTAGTGCCTAAGGCACTTGACTGCTAACCAGAAGGCTGGCGGTTCAAACCCATTAGCCACTTCTTGGAAGGAAGGTTGGGCAATCTACTTCCATAGTGATACTGTCTCAGAAACCCATGGAGGGGTCGCTATGAGTCAGGTCTGACTCCACGACACACAACAACAACACAACAAAAGTCCCCCTAAAAGTGTCATACAAAACATCCTTTCTTAGGAAGCTACTACAGGCAATATACACTCCACAAAAACTATAGAGAAAACCAAGAAAAAAGAATACAGGAGAGATAGAAAAAGGAGATATAAATAGAGAAAAAACAATAATCTCCAGGAAGATGATGAAAGGACATTCCAAATGGCATTAAGGCAGTGGGCCTATAGGGGCAACCAAATCAGATGAACACAGATCAGAAGACTCCAGCTTCCAGGATACAGTTCTTTAAGAAGACCAGAGAGACTATCCTACGTATCTGTATGTATTAAAGCAACATTTTTTTAACCACTGGGTCAAAGTATGAGGCTGAATTAAATGGTTAAGTAGAACAAGGAAAATTAAGCAAATGAAACATGATGTTATGGAGGAAGAGAAAAGAAATCAAAATACAACATATGCTCAATTGCGCTGAACACGGCCATTACAGAGCTCTAATAATTCAGCATGAAATGATCATCTAACCACAAATCGTATTAAAGTTGGAAAGGTGAGAGTATAAGTGCACGGTGGTTAAGTCGGTCCTATTTTTCAGGAGGAAGAAATAATACCTAAAATTAGAAAAAAAAATTAAGGGAAATATGAACATGTGTGCGTGTGTGTGTATATATACATACACACACATAACATATATGCAGTTACACTATTACGGGGAATGAAAAATTAGCAAGGAAATGGGATAGAATTTTGAATCAAAATCTATATAACTCTGTCCCTAAACTATGTACATGCACCCCTGGTAAAATAAACATACAATTAAAACAAAAAAGGTATGATATTGGGGGGGAAAAAAAAGCTATACGAAAATCACATAACATTCTATTACTGAAAGACAGATGGTGCTGTGCTGGAGAGACAAACAAGATGTGAGTTCTGACGGGGATCCAGCAGGCAAGGCATGATGTCTTGTTCTCTGTGTCCCAGTGCTCAGGTCAGAGTATGTGCCAGTGTGTTTGCTGAACAAATGAATGGATGAAAAGAATGTAAAGTTGATTTTAGCAGAGAGACATGCTTTAAAAAGACATACATGAAATAGCTGAAGAGAGGGATTAATTCTGTTGTAGTGACAAGACTAGATTTTACCAGAATCAAAAAAATTGTTCCAATGTATAAGAAGGCACAGAGGAAGGTGTTCCAAACACAAAAGCATGAAACATGGTGTGGGCATAAAACTGACAGGCATGTGATGTTTGTACAGTGTACTGTTTAGTAAAGAGCCAATATATTTCTCTAAAACTTATTTACTTAATGTTTTTGAGCACCTACTATGGACCAGGTCCTGTTCTAAGTACTGTGTATATGTACGAAACAGTGAACAACAACAAAAAAACCTCTGTGGTGAACCCATAATCTAGGGAGAAGGATATCAGCAAGCAAATAATACAGTATCAGATTGTGATTAAGTGCTATGAAGAAAAAAAAAAAGAGGGTGGGGGAAAGAAAATAGATGAACAAATATGATGAAGGTATATGTGTCTGCAGAGTGGTGGCTTGCTAACTATGTGAGGTGGTAAAGGGATCCCTGATAAGATGGTATCTGAATAGGAACCTGGAGAAAATGAGGGAGTGAGTCATACACATATCTCAGGGAAGAAGATTCTAGGCAAAGAAGCAGCAAGTGTTCTTTGGTTGGTAGTATGTGGACCATGATAAGGATGTTGGCTTTCATTCTGAGGGGACCCACTGCAAGGCTTTGAGAACATCTGTCTTGACCTACATTTAACAGGGTCAACATGCTGTCAATAGTCCATAGGGGACAAAAGCCATTGAAAGGAGAAAACAAGGAGACTATGGCAGTCACTCAGGTAAAAACATACGGTGGTAAAGTAATTCTAATTACTTGGAAAGCTGTTTCACATTCTTAACAGTCAGTGCCAAGCTCTACCTTTATTTTTTTAAAAAGTTCACAAAATTTTAGAATCAATATTGGAAATGAGTCCCTTCTGGTATATGAATTATTAGGTACAAGATGTCATAAAGTCAGGAAATTTGGAATAATGAACATAAAACTTATTTAAAGTAGATTTTCAACAGCCCGGTTTTCTTCCCAACCATATTTAATATTCCATTTACAAAGCACATGGCTCCTTGAATACTGTCATTTATGTGCAATCACTCCATTCTACTGTGGATTTTTAAAAAGATGTTCATTAAAAATAACCCCAGCCCCCAAGATGCAACTATTGGTTTCTCCATGTCCAGAGGGAAGAAAAGTGAAGAAAACAGAAATCTCAAGGAAACAATCAGTCCCAAGGACTAATGGATGACACCTCCACTAGCCTGAGACCAGAAGAATTAGATGGTGCCCAGCTACCACTACTGACCACTCTGATAGGGATCACAATAGAAGAATGGGAGAAAAATGTAGAACAAAATTCAAACTCATAAAAAAGACCAGACTTATTGGTCTGATAGAGACTGGTAGATCCCCTGAGACTAACGCTCTTAAACACCCTTCAGAACTGGAAAGGAACCTACCTCCTGGGATCACCTTTCAGCTAAACAACAGACATGCCTAAAAGTGAACAGTAACAACCATGAGGAACATATTCCTCAGAACAATCAACCATAAAATCAGACCAAAAAGGCAACATTTACCCAAGCAAAGGCAGGAAGTGGCAGGACAGAAGGACAAATGGAAATAGGGAGTCTAGGATAGAAGTGGGAAAGCTGCTGTTACATTGTGGGGATTGCAATCAATGTCATGAAACAAAATGTCAATGAACTCTTGAATGGAAAATTAATTTGCTCTGTAAATTTTCCCCAAAATCTCTCTCTCTTTCTCTCTCACACACACACACATGCACACAAAGTGTCCAAAATATATTAAGTGAATCAACAGAAAGTTACAGTTTACAAAGTCAGATGCTAATTTTGAAAACAGGGAATACAGTCCAAGTATAGGCACTGAGAGTAGTGAAAGTAGATGGGGATATTGATAAAACAAGATTGACAAGAAGCTGGCATTACTGATTCTGGATAATGGGTACAGGGAGTGTTTTTTTTTTTTTTTTTTTTCATTCTCTCTACTTCTGCAAATGCATTTGTACTTTTACATAATACAATGCTGTAAGAAAAAAGTGAGAAGAAAATATCACTTAACTGAGATCTAGGGTACAGAACTGCAGACGCTTTCTTATTTTAGTGTAACTGAGTTCAAATTCTCACTCACTCACAAGAACATGGAGGCACAGAGACAAGTTTAACTTACCACCCAACAGGCATTTCCAAGATCAGCAATCTTCACTTGAAGTTTTTCTGCATTTTTTGGTTCTAGGGGATTAACAAGAAAATTCCCAGCAGTGGATTTTCCTACAGACAACAGGTACCAATATTAAGACTATGAACATAGTCTTGGATATAGAAATACTGAGAGGTTAATAAAGCTCTCCAAGGTAATACACCTAGGTGCTCAGGGGGCAACCTACAATAAATTTTGTAAGATAAAAAGGGCACAGTAAAATCTTGAGTTTTTTTAATTTAATTTCTATCCTCATAGCAACAAGTGAACTGCTGTGCACCCACTAAGTGGTCAATAAAATACAAAGTGGCTACAGGTTTATACATTGAGGGTGACTTGGACTCCTGCTGTGCAATTATATTTACAAAAACAAAGGTATTTCGAGTCCAGATATTCATGAATATGTTTTTCAGGGAAGGAGTATTGGCAAAGTATGTCTGCATAGATACCTTTGTTGTCCAGTGGTCCATTCGGTTCCTGCTCTTGTTCGTCTTCACAAGGTATTTCTGCCCGGATGCTTTCTTGAAGTTGGCTGATGTCCTGGTCTACACTTGTAGAAGACTGGCACACCATGGTATCTGATGTCTCAGAGACTATGGGTGTAAAAGAGTCTATTTCTTGAGATGTGCTGCTGTCTCCATTTTGTGAGCTTAGGAAACTAGGTTCCTGCTTCAAATTTTGGATGACAGAGTCATTAGCATTATGTAGATCCTCTTTAAGCCTCAATGTCTCTTTATTACTGTTCTCAGTAAAATTAACGGTTTCAATTACTCCATTGCAATTAATTTCTGCTGCACCACCCTCTACACCACGTTCCATAAGTGTTTGATCCTGGACAATGGTACTTGCCTCTTCTAAGGAACAAACAAACAAAAAGGATGTATGTGTATGTGAGTGAGTGAAACAACAGAAAAATTTCTTCACAAGATTGAAACATTTTCTAGAATTCATACAGGATGACATAAAAACATGACTGAACATCTAAAACCTATTTATGGAAGGAAAAGACCTTCTTATCCTTACCCAACTGCTAAATGAAGTCTATGCTCCATTTCCTGAGAAAAGTTAGAAATTACATTTGAGTATTACCTGCCTCACATTTATCACAAATTCTGTACTATTACTCTATAAGGACACCCCCAGAGATGTGCTGTATACATGAAACCATTATATTATATATAACAATGATAAATAATGTTAAAGTTTGCTATAAAGTAAGGTTTGTGATGCTCTATTTATACCAAGTTTTTCTTGGGTCATTTTATTAGGTGGGTTCTCTTTCAAGGGTCTTTCAACAGGACTCTCTGATTCTTCTTGCTTGTTTGGTCTTTTTTGCCCAGGGCCCGACTCTTTCTCCATTTCCTCAATTTCCTGCATTCGCTTCTCTAGTAATTCTGCCTGGCGCTTCTGCTTCTTCTTCAATTTCTTCTTCTTATTCTTTGACATTTTGTCAGCCTGGGCGGAGATTACAAACAGATAAAGCCTTCAGGTGGCTAATCCATTACCCTCAGTTGGAGATAACTGTTAACTTTAATTACTTCCTAATTAAATTTCACTCTTTCCCTAACAAAGCACTTAAGTTTTTTACCAACTTAAAAAATGAAGATACTCTTATGAAACTAAATAAAAACAAAATTAACAGCAAATCTTGGTCTTCTGAGCAGCCTGTGGGGCTAGTGTAACTCTAAGACACACTCAGATTTATGGAAGCCTCATCAGCACAAATTTCCTTGAAGATGCATGGGAATTTATTGGAGAAAATTACAGAAGCGCAGGAATATTTTTATTTTTGACTTCTGAACTCTAAACAGTGACCATCCATGACAGAAGAACCCATGCTGCCCATAGATCAGAATTAAATATAGAAACACCTTATACTTACTGGTTTAGGCTGGGGAGCAGTACTGACTGAAAAAAAAAAACAAAAAACAAAAAACAAGTAAGACTTCTGCGCCTAAGCAGGCAATACAAACTAAGGACTAGATAAGACATCCTACTAGCATGAAAAGTCTCATTCTTGTAGAATATACATTGCACAGAAAACTACTGTTTTTAAAAACTACTTTAGTAGAATCCACACTATCATTTTTTATAAGAAATTATCTATATAAAAGGTGACAAGGTTAAAATAAGTTCAAGTAAAATAGAGTCTGCCTTGGATAGCATCAATATATACAAAGAACCATGTCTCCATTTCTGGTTTTCACTACTAACACTAGGAATGTGAGAGCAGAACTGTGTTCCACGGAGTTTTCAGTGGCTGTTAATTATTTCCTAGTGCCATGTATTGCTTAGAGTAGAGAAGCTCCTTCTAGGGTTCCCAGCTCCTATTCTTCCCTCTTGGCAGTTGCCAGTTTTAACAGCAAAGTCAAGGCAATACCAGGGATTATATTAAGTTGCTATGCACCATATTATGGATATTAGTTTAGCTCAGGCAAGAGGTGGTATCTTCAATCTTCCTTTTTAAAGAACTCAGTGATAATTAATAGCTCAACTAGAGTATCAAGAAAGCTCATCAAATATAACTAAACCACTAAAATGAAATGTAAAGATGTAAAAAGTCATTATAATAACATGGTCAATAATCATAAATCATTTATTTAGTGCATAGCATTGTATGGCAAACTATCATTTGCTTCAACATGAAATTTAATCCATTAAATTGCACAAGGGAAAATGAAGTCAAGGTCACTCAACCAATGGTGAAACAAGGATTCAAATCAGGTCCATCCAATTCTAGTACTAAGCTCAGCTCTTAACACCAATGTTACCTTGCCCCTCTACAGATTACTGATCCATAGTAACAATGTATTATCATGGTATGAGGTATACAAACCAAAATGACTACCAAAACACAAGATAAAACATTTCAAAGTAATAATATGTATCAGCTTTTGGGATATATATATAATGTATCCATATCTAACTGACAAAATCTCTATTCTTGTCTTTACCATATAAGAGTAATACTGGGAATAAAGTAAGTCTCTTGAAGGCTGGGACTATTTCTTACATGTAATTACTTACTGCATTTTATTACTAAATGAATGAACGGCATTTTATTTAACTGCCTGGTAACAGTATAAAAATAAGAATTTCTTCTAAAAGAGCACAGTCACCAAAGAAAATACACCTGCAGATCCAGAAGGTGGAGGAGCTCCAGATCGCTGCCATTCTGTTGCTTCTGCAGCCAGCCTCCGAATGTATTGCTCGTTCACTGATAATAATATGTTTTCTGGTTTAATGTCAGTGTGGATGATACGGCACTTGGTGTGTAAATAATCCAGACCCTGTAATACCTGAATGGGAATAGACCAGTAAAGTGATGCAAACAAAGAATACAAGTCTTTCTGGAAAAGGAAAAAGTCACAGGACACTTAAAATACATTATATGACAGAATTTTCTATAGAGTAAAGCACTTTTTAAAGCACAAAGAAACTTTCTCAGAAATATAACTTAAACTTTATGGACAAAAGCAAGAGTTTATTTTATTGATAATAATATAAAAGAGTTTTTCCATGTTTTACAAAGCTAATTCTCTTTGGAGATACTCTTTAAGTACATTATAAAGACTGAGAGCATGTTTAATACTTTAGGTGAAATATAGCTGACTCCAGAGATTTAGATCTCCTCTGACTCACTTTTCCTCACTGACGAAGGACTGAGGTCTCTTGCTTTCTAGTTTGGCGTGCTTTCCACCAAGACACTTTACCCAAATCATTTGCTCTTTGAAGTGTTTATATTTTGCTAATGGTAAATTCTGTATAATTTATTAAGAGTTATTTAGACAACTAGAAAATGTTCATGAACAATGTTGTATAATAAACAAGGGGTAATAATTTGACAAGGTGCTCTGGTTGGTGCAGGGATTAAAGTATTTGGCTGCTAACCAAAAGGCTGGCAGTTCAAACCCACCAGTCATTCTGTAGCAGAAATAAGATGCAGTCTGCTTCCATAAATATTTACAGCCTTAGAAAACCTAAAGGGCAGTTCTACTCCATCCTATAGGGCTACAGGGTCTCTATGAGTCAGAATTTGACTCTATGGCTGAGGGTTAATAATTTGAGCTATCGTGTCTCTATTAATATATAATTAATGTTTGCAATCAGGATTTTTGGACAAGTGCTCTAAGTTTCTTAAGTCTGGTATCTCATACAATTTCCCTTCTAATAATTATCACAGGAGATAAACCTGGGGGAAAATGGTTATCCTAAACATTTTAAAACAGAATAAACATGATAAACACTAGGAGTTCAATATGAACACTTAATTTAAAAAATTTAAACAGCAGTTTTAAAAATAACAAAAATTCTATTTGAAATAGGAAATTCCTGACACTTTTTAAAGACTATTAAAAACAAAATGAAACAAAACAAAAACCCATATAGGAGAGCATAAGACACATACTTGCTGAATAATTTTTTTGACACAAGGCAGTGGAAGCCCTTGATAATTTGACTTGATGATCCACTTGAGCAGATGATGCCCCAAAACTTCAAACACCATGCAGATATCTAGAGATTTGTTAAGGAGGGAAAGGGAAGGCACAAAAGAACAGGAGCAAGACAAGATGTGTTCCACTCCAATGAAAATTTTATTATATTCTTTCTTCTAGTATAAAAAAGTATATAATTTAACTGAAAAAACAGCTATCAATATTCTGAAATTTCAAAGCTTAACAACGTAGTCACCAAAAACAGAAATTTTGGGAGTGGGGGGTGAAGAATGGCTTACTGACAAAATCATGCACATTAAAATACTTAGTGCTAAATGGAAAAGTGAAATATGTAACTGCACTTAGCAAAAGCACTAAGCTTAAACTGCTGATTATATTAGACAAAGCAGTTTCTTCCCTGACATCTAAACTAATGGCCAAGGTAACAATTCCTTTCCTCAACTGGTCTCGATCTATTCTCAAAGCAAGGAAAACATGTTCTGCCTTAACTACAGAAGACAGTGTACCAAACTTAACCTAAAAACTGAAATGCCAACATCTTTTCAAAACAGAAATCTGACTTGCTTTTTATGCTTTGCCACTGAAGTCGATTCTGACTCATGACGACTCCAGAAGTGTCAGAGCAGAACCGTGTTCCATACAGTTTTCAGTGGCTGATTTTTCAGAAGTTCATCATCAGACCTGTATTATAAAACTAATTGTGGTTCTAGGGCTCCCATGTGTTCTTTTTATGTATGAACTTCTTGATTACACTTAAAAAAAAAAACAAAAAAAAACAACCCCAAAACAAACTCACTGCCATTGAGTTGATTCCAACTCACAGCAACTCCCACTGGGTTTCTGAGGTGGTAAATCTTTACAGAAGCAGACTGCCCAGTCTTCCTTCTGCGGAGTGGCTGGTGGGTTTGAACCACCAACCTTCTGATTAACAGTCAAATGCCTTAGGTACTACATCACCAGCTCCTTACATAGTAGAAATTTATTATTTTTTGAATTTATTATTTCTTAGTGTATAGGCCATGTAGAGGTTTTAGTAGTAAGAAGTTAGTCTCTTCTACCCTCAGAGGCTTCTACATAACATTAGATAGTCAATATAAAAATATACAGTAATAACCTAGTGTCTAGACTTGTTTCTAATAAAACAAACAAAAACACTAAAGAAACCTGAATGACTTTCTGTGCCAGCAAGTGAGAAAACATGTCAAGAGGAAATAGGAACTAGCTTGAAGATGATGTCAATGGCCAAACTTGAGACCATTTCAATATCAAAATAGTGAAGTTATGAGTTAACATTACTTAAAATTAGAAATAGTGTAAGTGTATATGGATACTAAACAATGTATGATCATGGTATGAGGTATACATGTCAAAATGACCACCAGACTGGAATGTTATGGGGCACTAGATAGGGTAAAGATGCAGGAAAACACAATCCAAAATGAGTATAATCAATCACTTAGAACTGACATGTTGTTGTTGTTGTTGTTGTTTGCCGTCGAGTCGGTCCCGACTCATAGCGACCCCTCCTTGGGTTTCCGAGGCAGTATCACTACGGAAGTAGGATTGCCCAACCTTCCCTCCGAGATAGATACTAGAATTGGCAGATAAAGACATGAAATAGTTCTAACTGTACTGCACACAGTCAAAAAGTTAGAGACAGGGAAGATATATGAAAAACACACAGATGGGATTAATGGCAGGTTGAAACACTGCAGAAAAAAGAAGACAGTGAACTTAAAGACATAGCAATAAACTATCCAAAATGAAACACACAGGGAAGGGTAAAAATGTATGAGAGCATCAGTAAGCTGTGGGATAACTTTCCAAACCAAACCCTTTGCCACTCAAACTCACTGCCATCGAGTTGTTTCCAACTCACAGTGACCCCCACTGGATTTCCGAGGTGGTAAATCGTTACAGAAGTAGATTACCCCATCTTCTTTCCACAGAACAGCTGGTGGGTGTGAACTGCTGACCTTCTGGTTAGCCTTCAAATGCCTTGGGCACTGCACCACCAGAGCTCTTAGCGGATCTTATAGGACAGAGTGAAACTGTCCAACAAGGTTTCCAAGGCTGTAAATCTTTAAGAAAGTAGGCTGACACATCTTTCTCTTGCAGAACAGCTGTGGGTTCAAACAGATGACCTTCTGGTTAGTAGCCAAGCACGTGCCACCAGGGCTCCTTGGGATAACTTTAAGTGACTCAAAAAGGGGTAGGGGGGAGAAAGTGAAAATATCTCCTCTGTCCACTGAAAAGGCTAGAAACAATGACGAACTCAGTAACAACACATATCTCTAGTGTTTAGATTCTGGGCATCATTCCCCACTAAAAGGAATTAGGGTTCCTTAAAGACATGACTGATTCCAGTCGTGGGACTGGAAACATACAAGGTAGGTCTAGAGTATAACAGTAAAAAAAGGAATATTATGTAACAACAAAAAGGAATGAATCATAGTAAAAAATTTGCTGAACAAAGTCAGAGACACAAAAGAGTATATATTACATGAATCCATTTACATGAAGGCAAAATTAAGGTATAGTGAAAGGGGATTGATTGCAAAGGTGCATTAGGGAGCCTGATGGGATGAAAAAAGTATGTGCTAAATCTTGATTTGGGAGATTGCACAAATCTGGCTAGAAAGAGAGGTAAAGCCAGAATGTTCCTTAGAAACTTTGTTTCACATACTTTGGACATGTTATCAAGTGGAACCAGTCCCTGGAGAAGACATTATGCTTGGTAGAGAGTCAGCAAAAAAAGAGGAAGACCTTCAATGAGAAAGACTGACACAGTGGCTGCAACAACGGGCTCAAACGTAGGAACAAATGTGAAGATGGCGCAGGACTGGGTAGTGTTTCATTCTGTTGTACACAGGGTGGCTATGAATCCGAACCAACTCAAAGGCATCTAACAACATAGCAAACACTAGTACATACTTCTGATAAAACTCAAACCATTGATGAGGGAAACAAATAAATAATAAGAGTATCAGTTCCAGTACGATGGTGGAATAGGCAGAGAGACTGCACAGACCCTCTTCAACAAAGAAAAGGGGAACCAATTAACACAGACAGAGAAGATAATCCTGGACCCCTGAGCTTTGAAGGGAAGGATATAGAAGTGGACTAAACTCCAACCATCAGAAGAATTTGCATGAAAATACCATAAAAGGAGACACAGAGCTGTGGTCTGGCAGTGATCCTAAGGGGTCCTGACGGCACAGATAGCTTGGAGATTGCCGAGTGGTGGTAGGACCTGCTCTGGTGGCTGAGGAAAAGGCGAAGCAGCAGCAAATAGGAAGACGGGCTGAGCTGTGGACTTTTGCTGTTCGGAGGGTGCAGCCATTTTGAATGTTTACAAGCAGCTTGACCATTTTGGATATTTAAAGTGACAGTGTTTTCCCAGATTGCAGGGGCTTAAGAACAGGTTCCACTTGCCAGTAACCCCAAGGACATTGCGGACCTGGATGACTGAAAAGGTGCTACATTCCCCTTGTTACTCTAATACCCCACACTCGCTTGGTGAACGGAAGTGTGGCCAAACCCCACTCCTACCCACCTTCTGGGCTTCCAGGAACTCCATCCCAGTCTGTGTGCTCAGACTGAGCCTGGGTGCCCTGCCCTGCCCTGCCCTCCCTGATTTTTTGTTCTCTTTCTTTTTTCTGTTTTTAAACTACTATCATTATTACTACTTTTGTTCTTTTTACTATTATTCTTTACTATGCCCCTTGCAGGTGCTAGTTTTCAGCTTTTTTTCTTTTCCCTGTTCCTGGTTGCAATTTTTTTTCTTTTTCTTGGTTAACCCCATTCCTTGTTTTTCTTTTTGCATTTTACCGCTTTTTTCTTCATTCTTCTTCTTCTCTACCTTTTTTCTTTTATTGCCCTATCCCCAGATATTGCAGGTTTTCTTGTTTTTTTTCCTTCTTCTTTTTCTCTTTTTTGGTTACTGTTCCTGTGTGATTGCATGGTGTATTTTTTACCCATGTGCTTTTACTTTTTTGATGGTTATTTGATTGTAATTTTTGTCTAACTGAGTGGGAGACAACAACAGTCCCCATAAGACACAACTACACCCACACCTCCTGCAACTTCACTTACTGAGCGAGAGCCACTACATCCTTCTCTACCAACGGGCCAGTGATAAAAA